TACATGAACAAGAAACTCAGAACCGTCTTTATAGACGGTATATAAACATCATATCCAGAGTCATCCTGTCTGCCTCAGGTTTTTCTGTGCTTGTTTTATTTGCTTGCACCCAGATATGGCTCTTACCCTGAAGGGCTCAGCATCATTTTTTTACCTCCATTGCAGGACTCTGTGCTAGGATCTCAAAATCTGACCAGTTTTACTTAGCTGAAGAGTCTCCTTGTCTTCACCAAACATGGAACTACCTGCAAGCAGTGGAGTCACAAGGTCACAGGACCAGGCCCTTTGCTTTATTTTGGTGAACATTTCGTCAGAATTTACCTGATGTGTAGAAGACCTGATAATTACCTGCCAAAGGCATGTGGCACCACAGGCATTTGATACATAAATCACTTCCTGTTATACTGACTGTCACTTTCTGCCTTTGCAGGTAAAGGAAGAAAATAATTATTAGACCTCATTCTTTATCATGGATTTGCTAAACCAGGTTAAAGTTTCCTGAAGAAACCATCTATTTGATGATTCTTGGAGAATCCCACACACTCCTAATCCTTGCTGAGAACTGCAATGATAGAAAAAGCAAAAGCCATGTCACACTGTGTGCTTGTGCCTGAACAGTAGATGTCCCTTAGTTTGGGAGATGCTTCAATAAGCTGATTGATTCCAGGCTGGAATACTTAAATGCCACTGCCTCACACTACACAACACCTAACCATTTAAATCTCTCTGCAGTCAGTGGAACTGTTTGTGTGGGAGACCATTACTCACTGATGGCATCTGAACTGTGGGAGATGGGAGAATTTCCCAGATCTTTGCTCAGAGTAAAACCTGAGCCTTCTCCTGCTCCGGGCTGGGGTGGTATCTGGATGAGCATCAACCGCCTCTGGTTTCCCCTGGAGGGAGCCTGGGCCTTAAGGAGTGGAGTGACAAGTGTCACTGTCACCAGTTTGGGTGAGCTGGAACCCTGCAAGGCACATCTACTTCACAGCTTAGTCACAGCCCAAGCCAGTAATAAATGGGAATTGCTTGTCATTGGGTTTTTCCTGTATGCTTCCATGAAAAGGGTTGAAAAGTGAATGACAACAGCTCAGCACTGGACAGTAAGTGTGCGCAGTTCTGTTGCCAACTTTCCTCACTTGCACCTATTAAGAATGAAAGAACAAGTTAAATATAACAGAAAAGGTTTTTATTTCTGGTATTTGAGCTGTGCCCGTTTGCTCCAGGGATGAAATTAGGCAACAATGTATTTTCTAAAGCTTAACCCTCTTCTGTTATCTCAAATTGCGTTCTGCTTTTTTCTAAATTGAATATACCCTCCCTGGAATAACTAAACCTATTTGTACAAAACTGAGAAAGAAATTATTTTATGAAATAATCTTGCCTTTCAAAAATTCTTGCTGAACATATAAATTAAGCTTTCAAGAAATGGAATGAAACTGCTTTGCATTCGGCTTACGCACACAAGATGAATGTAGCACGTGCAGTTAATTTGTTTTTGAAATCTGGAGATAATGTTCATTGTAATAAGGATATATTTCCCCCAACACCCTTGCTCCTCAGGTTGGAATTGACACTGAAATGTTCAGGGGAACCTGAACTATTCTAATGGAGACTTCTATCAAATTGCTTGAGTTCTTTCTGTCTTTTTGATACGGCCATCACATCGGGACAGTCTCAGGTGACATCCTCACCTTACCAGTTTGGCATCTTCCACTATTTTTTTATGGGCATTCTGTTCATTTGTGAGAAAGCTGGAAGAAAGGAAGTTCCATTTTATGAAGCCCAAAGGACTTCTGAAGGACCTTTTTAGGATTACCACTAATGCAGGCTCAAGTGTAAGTTTCCCATTCTGTACTTCATTATTTGCCTTTTCATTACCACCCTCAAAAGCTATTATCACTTCTCACAGTCA